CAGCTGGAGCAAGATTACAAACCCATGGCACTGGTCTCCAAGCTGGAGAGCACAAGAAGAGCCCCATGATGCATGAAGCTATTGGCTCGGCTGGGTAGAGCATTAGAAACCCATTAGCCAGCCACCTTCCCAGTCACAAAAAGGACATCAGCTAGCCTGTACCAACATCCCTTTTTTGCATTAAGGCTTCTGAGAATTTGCTGTCAAGAAGTTGGTTGAAAGCCTGCTCAGGTGTCTCCATGCTACACTAGTCACAGCAGTAACTGCAGCATGGACAGACTCCAAGAGCATCAGCAAGGTAGAAACAGAGGCCTGGGATTTAACGTTGTTCTTCAGGTCAGCCTCTGATCCCAGCTATTGCTACCCAACTGCACTGAAGTTGGCAGGAGTGCACGCTCTTAGCAATTAGCCTGAGCTAAATCTCTGCAGCTGGGAAGCATCACAGCTCAAATCCCCGGGGGGAGAAGGGGACCTCGTAGCACACACTTACCAGTGGGTGCACTTGCTCTTGGAACCGAAGGATGGGAGCTCTGTCCCTGAGGTCTCCAGCAAGGTCTGCCAGGCTGTGGTAGGCAGCTCTACAACAGCGGAAACAGATTTCTCACAGCTTATTTCAGAGTAGAAGTAAATTTTAACCCCTAGTTCAGTGTCAGGACTCACAGGGAAGAAACAGCTTGTAACAAATCTCCCGTCCTTAAGCCCCTGGAATAGCTGCTCTAGCAGGAGTTTTTTATTTGCTAATGAACAAGCTGTTAATTAGGCACCGGGCTCCTTAACACTGCTGATGGTCCTCAGCAACTTGAGAACTGCATATTATAGGATGGAAGGGAGCATTGCTTGCCATATTCAAACTACTGGCTTCTCTATGGGCCTTTCCAGGTGAGATAAGGGCTATAGGCCAGGCAGCCACAGGTGGAAACCCTTACTCCCCCTGAAACAGTTCTCTCCTCTCGGTAGGAACCTGTGCCGTGCTACCCAGTTTGCCTCAGCTTTTATCTCACACTAGCATTTCATCAGGAGCATCAGCACGGATCTGGGGTTACAAACTGTGCTGTAGGATGAACACAGCCACCTGGAATCTGTGCCAGTCCTCCCAGCTGCTGCCCTTCTAGAGGGTCCCATCAATTATCCATTTAGTGTTGGTGATCTTTCCCATCTGGCAATGGATGTCCACAGACACCCCGGATAAATATTAAGTTCCTCTCCCGCATCGCCCCCATCCAGCCCAGCTGCCAGCATACTTACATCAGGTCACCAAAAGGCCAGCTTCACCATCCCTGATGATGCAGAAACGTAGCATGGAGCTAGTAGCACTCTGCTCCCAATTAAGAAAGGCTCAGCTGCCCATCATCAACCTTCAGGCTACACTTACCATTTGGCAGTTCCCAGCTCTCCCCATAGCAGAGACCTTCCTTCTAGCTGAGACCACAAGACTGACAAGAATGGGCCAGAATGATCTGGGGCCTCGAACTTAAAGAAAACATTACAGGCCCATTTTTAATCCCTCTCCATCACTATCTTCAGCTAAGTCACTCCTTTATTCTGTTAGCAAGAGAGAAGTGGGTCCAACATGTATTAGCAGCATAATGCAGAATAAGGCTTCCTCCCCCTCCAAGTTTGAACTCAGATAGCAGCAACATTCCCCACTTATTGTGATGCTTACTGTGATATTTAATGCACGCTCTTTGATTACTCTCTAAACAGAAGGTGTTTTAAAGCTGGGGTAAGGGAAGTATCAGCCTGCTGCTTGGGCTCTTTGGTAGGTGACAGACCTACCAAAAAAAGATATCACAAGATGCTGATTTGGTACTAACAATGGTCTGCACATGTAGTGATAGGGAATGGAGAGGAACTTCCCACAAGGTGCTGTGACTTGCCAACCCAAGAGCCGTTCCTTTTTATAGGGCCTCTTTTCAGGTCCTAGGATGGAGGGTATGAAGGGGCTGGGGGTAGGCTAGTAAAATTCACCCCCGGAGAAGAGCAGCTTTAGGAAGATGAGTTCCTCTTCCTTGCCTCCAGCATGGGAGCAGCTATAGCCAACAGCAGGTGCCAGGGATGCCTCGTCCACTGCCTCACACCAGGGAGTGCTCAGTGTCCCTCCCCGGCTGGAGAGAAGCTCAGGGTTTTGTAACCAAGTTTGTTATAGAAAAGTTGCACTGGTGATTGCATAGGAATGACTCTTCCACAACTGCACGGGGGTCACCATCCAGGAACAGAGCATGCTTGCCTGGTCCCAAGCAGAGCTGGCAGCCAGTATGCTCCTTAACGAGCAAAACATGCTCTAGGAGTTTGCTTCACATCGCTGATTACCCCGCTGATGAGCAAGATGTAAAAGAATGGCCTTTTAATGTCAAGCCCCATTAGAACAGCAGGAGTGAAATCAATATTGGCCAAACAAAAGGCCCAGCCTTGTTGGGCAATGAAGGCTGTACAAAATAACAACACTAATTATAAGGTAGAAGCAGCCAATAATGAAAACTACTAATCAAGACTTTTGCTGGTGCCCTGTTAGGTCAGGTCCGGGGTGGTCAGTGATTGACATCATCACAATCTCAAGGATGTTCTATGAAAGACATCAGAGATGCTACCCAAGTCCTCCTTTACTCACCAGTCATAGTCCTGCACCACACACCAGTCTTCTCCCCGCTGCCTGGGTGCATTCAGTGGTTTCTAACTGTGGGGTGCTGAGGAAAGCTGATCTAATATCCAGCTACAGGAAACCAACTGAACCTGATTCCCAGCATGTTGTTCTGTCGGCACCCTCCTAACAGACAGAAGTGCATAATCCCCTTCACTGCATAACACAACATCAACCCAAATTTGTCACCTGCTGTTTATATGGTAAAGAACAAACCGGCCCATGGATTAAGTCTACAAAGGACTTACTTGCTCCACTATCTACTTTGTAATTTAAGTGTGCTCCGTTTAACCACATAACGGATGAAGCTGACCCGCAGCCCTCTATCTTGAGACCTCCCAAGCAGCCTTGAATCCACTAGGTCCCATCAGTTCCAAGGCTGTAAGGGCACAGGACTGCACGTCTTGCTCATCAGGGGGGTAATCAATGGTGTGAAGCAAACTCCAGGAGCATGTTTTGCTCGTTAAGGAGCGTGCTGGCTCTGCTTGGAACCAGGCAAGCGTGCTCTGGTTGTGGACCCCCCTTTCCTGGTTATCGGCAGTAACCATTACTCCTATGCCATCCAGAGGTGCCCCTAGCTCACTGGGTGGAAACATTGGCCTTACAGGTGATAGATAGGACTGAACCAGTCTGACCACTGAACAGCTGGTCAAAGGACCAGAGCCGTTCCCACGGCCCCACCACTGTCAGCTCTACCTGCTAGCTTCTCTTCACCCAGCAGTGCCACCCGATGTGGACTGCAAGGAGGACAGTAAGCCCCATGGGCAGATGATGGAGTGCTTTATGGTGACCATGGCATCTGCTTGCATGATTTATAGGCAGGCCACAAATCACCTGCCACTAAGAATGCCTGGGAAGTAATTGGGATCAAAGTTCTGGGGCTTTACAGGAGAAGATGCACTGCTGCTGTGTTGGAAAAACCTTGTTCCTCCAAACTCCCCTGCTACATCCTCTTCGGGAACAGAGAAATTTCAACACCAGCCCCATCTCTGATGCAAATACTGAGAAACATAGCAAGGCATATGGGGTTATTCAGTGCCTAGCGCAAGAGCCTAGCTGCAAGAAGGGGGAAGGGATCTGCTTTCAGCTCTGAGTTTTGCAGGAAAAGATAGATTTTCATAGATTCATAGACATTAGGGGCTGGAAGAGACCTGGCAAGATCATCAAGTCCAGCCCCGCTGCCGTAGGCAGGAAGTCTGCTGCCTCAGGTGGGGACTGATTCCAGACTGGGGGCTCAGGAGGGAAGGGGTGAGGAGCTGGAACCACTCCCTGGTGATGTTTCAGGCAGAGGGTGCGCTCCCTGCCATGACCCAAGCTGACTGCCCTCCCTCCCTACCTCCCCCTGGTAGGAGCGGATGATGCTGAAAAGAAACACCATTCACCCAACACTCTTAGAAAGACCAACTGCTTTGTATTACAGATCAGTCAAGTATGTCTCAGAATCCAGCTCAGGCGGATGCCACTGGCAGAGTCTTGGAGATCTGCGGATACTCCAGCCCTCCCGCATCCCAGGCAGTAAAAAATAGACAAACTCTTCTTCCGAAACAGGGGGAAAATAAGAAAAGAGTGTGAAAAACCAAGGAGAAATCCAGCATCTTAGAGAGAAGCAGCAGGGCTCAGCCATACCGCGAGTCCAGCCGCGCTTCTCCTTTCTACACCGCTGGGCAGGGGGTGGACAGCTCCATGCCCGCAAAAGGGATGTGCATTCTCAAGCTTCATCTCATCCTGTTTCTCCCCCTCCTCAGCAGGGGTTAATGCTGGATCCAGGTCACCGCAGGGGTTTCCAGCTATGAAGCCGTCCCTTGCTCCCACAGCATTTTGCTCTCTGCTGGGGCTGCCAGCACTCAGTAGTAATCGTCCTTCTTGCCACCAGCTCCTTGGAGCCCCGTATGGTCCTTGTGCTCCTGAACCAGCTCCAGGTCATCATTATCATCCACCTCCCCTCCATGGTCTTCCTATGGGCAGGCAGAAAGAGGGGACATTAGCACCAAAGAGGCAGGGAGAAGCTCACGCACAGGGATGCAGGACTAGAAGGGGACTCTGGGCCACTGTGGCCAGTCCCTACCATTGCGGAAACCACATAATAACTCTTTGCCCAAGAAGGTCCATGAGGACAGGCTGTCCAGCCCCCCTGGCACAGAACAGCTTCAAAACCCCTAGGGACACCCCCGGCTACACATGTCGTGGCAATGAGCTCCACAAGTTAGTTATACACAGTGTGAAAGGAAACTTCCTGTTGTTACTTTTAAACCTGCTACCCAAGAGTTTCATTTTAGACACCCCCATGCCCAGCACTGTGAGAGCCAGTCAGTCGCAACCAGAAAATAAACCAAAAGCTCCATCTTGGGCTGTGCGGGGGTCTGGGGAGGGGCAAGAAGTGCCTGCAGATCCCCCATGCCTGGAACAACCAAGGGCTTGAGTGTGTCATAGGAGGGGGATTTAAAACATCTGAAGCCTCATTTGCCTCCACTGTTACTAGGGGCCTGATTTTCAGAGGTGCTGGCTGCCTGCCGCTCCCCCTGAAATCAATGGTATCTTGGGATGCACCTCTGAAAAGCAAACAAGTTTCTTTGGGTAAATGTGATATCTTTTATTAGACCAGCTAGTTGGAAAAAACTGTTCTCTGCAAGCTTTGGGGCACAAACACCCTTCTTCAGGTATAGAGAGAGCTTTGTGGTGAATTTTGTGCTCTCCTGGGTAGAATAGAAGCCAATATGCAAAACGTAGGTCTGTGAAAATGCAAATGCGTGGCCATGAGGATGAGAGGGAATGGGAGACATTAGGTGCGAGACAGGTAGGTACAGAGGAGGGAAAGGGGAATGTTGAGCTGGTGATACAATGTAGCTGGTAAAATGCACACAGGTTACCCGGGGTTATTGGATAGCAGGCAGGTTATAATGTGCCATAAATCCAATGTCTATATTTAGCCCAGGGATACAGGTTGTAGCTGTATTGGCCTACAGGCAAAAGGAATCAGAACTCATGGCAGAAGTGATATCTTTTATTAGACCAACTAGATATTTGCAAAAAAAAAATTATTTGCAAGCTTTCGGGCGCACTCTGCCTTCCTCAGACATAGGAGAATGCAACGATTGTAAAATTTCTCCTAGGTGAAAATAAAAATTCATATATTTAGTTCATGGTGTTTTGTATCCAGTAGATTTATGAAGTGAAGTTTGTAGGCTCACCTACAAAAGGTGTTTTGTAAATCCCCTTTGAGGATCAGAACTGAGAGACTGGAGAGAGAATGGCTGTCTTGTGAGAAGTGTGCACCAGTGTGCCCGAAAGCTTGCAAAGAACAATTTTTCCAGTTGATTTAATAAAAGATATCACATCTACCCAAAGAACTTTGTCTGCCTACGTCCTTAGACTAACATGGCTACAACCAACAACTCTGAAAAGCAAGGCCTGTTTGCATAGTTCACCAAGGCACCTGGGACCCAGAGTGCTGGGTGCTGCACAAGACACGGGGCATCAGTGCCCAGAGGAGGTGTCACGAGCAGGCAGCAGGACCTCAGGGGATCCATCAGAGCTGTTCAGACACTGATGGGCTGACCTTGGTTCCTATTCCCAAACCCACTCAGGGAACAATCGTCCTGCAGAAGAGGGCAGGGAGGGGACATCAATGTCATACAATTTCTTGCTCCTGATCTTCTTGGTATTCATCCAGGGGGTCTTCCCTGTCCTTCTCGGGTACAACAGCTTCCTGGAAAACATAGGCAGGGCAGACATTACTACAGCAGCCTGGTGTGATCATCCAGAAGAACACCTCCTCCCCTGCTTCCCAGGGCATAGTCAAGCAGCTCTGGAGAACAGGACTGCCCTAAGGTATAGAGGAAGCTGAATCAAGACCTCGGGACATCCGTGAAGGACAGTCTACAGAGCTTCTGATTTACAGCCACTCCGATTGGGTCTGCATTTCACTGTCACTTCCCATCTCACCTGACAGGCTGAGCAGCCAGGGGCCATCTGGTCCATGTGGACGGTGCTCTCGTGAAGAGCCACCTGCACTGCGATCCCATGCAAAAGCCTCACAAACAGCAATAGAGCCAGCTCGCTACCCGTTCCAACACCCACCAGATCTGGGAGGAGCTCACTGTAGCCTTGCTCAGGGCTACCCTAACCCCAAGCCTGCTTGCTGCCCTGGCTACAGAAAACCAGCTGGTGGAACAGAAACTTGGTGCCAGATCAAGACTGAGGAGGGGCAGACAAAGCAGCAGGCTCAGACAGTGAAAAAATATGTAAGCAAGAAAAAACTGGAGGTAGGAGAGGTGCTTCTACAAAAGGATCTTGGCTTCTTCTGCTATTTTATGTTATCTACTGTCCCCTCGCTGAGCAAGTCTGATTAAGAGTTAAATCCTGTTTATCACTAGCATTTTACATAGTTCTGACTCCTGCAGCATCCAGACTGAGAGAGAGAGACTTCTCAATAGCTGGACTGCAATAAGCTAATGATTACAAAGGACCTCACAGCGGGCTGCTTTGAAACTTCATGGGATGGAAAGTCCTCAAAACAATGGGCCCCTCTTGCTTTAACTGAAGGAGAATCACCATTTCCCATCACCGGGACAGGTCTTACGATATGCAGCCATGCAGCTCTGATTCCATCTAGCAGAAGGCAGTGAGGTATGCACATGCTAGCCTGTTTATAGTTAAGCTGATCACGAAACATCACTGCCATCTGAAAGGAGTCAAAAGTCAGCATGGGTTCTCACTACAAAAGCTCTCACAACTCCTCCAAAAGTACCTGCCTTCTGCCTGTACAGTGTGATCAGCTCACTCCAGTCCTGTATGAAGGCAAGGATTTAACGTGCTAACTCTTTTCAGTCAGGCCCTGGACAGACAAAACATTTATGCTGTTGTTGTGAGCATTACACTGATGGAAAAAAGAAGCTGACAGATGATGCAAAAGCCTACGTAGGGGCAAATCAGCCTGAGAGTTACCCTTGGAAGAATCAGTGCTTGAACTATGCCAGTGTAGCTGCCACTGGTTTAGGTTTTGTCTGTCTCCAACCATCCAAAAGTAGCCAGTTGCTCAAGGCAAACAGGTAGCATTACTTAGCAGGGAGGTGCAAGTAACAGTCACTTATTGTATGAGCTACCCCAGGAGACCTGCATGTCAGTCTGCTCCTGATCCCAGCCTGATGTACATCAGCATAAAAAACCAACGTACACTGCCCAGGGTAATGCGTGCGTCTGTCCAGGGTCTCAGAGTGACTCTGTACAGCACTGCAGGAGATACAGTTGCTCTCTCAAGACCTGTTTCACTGGCTTGGGACTCTTTTAAGCTTTGCTCCTGATCATCACTTTACAGCCTGACAGACAAAATGCTCCTTTTAAAAACAAGTGACAAGGAGAACATTCAGCAGCTTGTCAAAACGAGCTCAGATTTCCCCATTGCAGAATCTGACTCCAGACAGCAGGAAACACTTGGCAAAATAAATGTCTCCCTTCTGCAAGCAAGCAGGTAGGATCTTCGCAAGGGCCACTGATACCAAGAGACCACCCCAGACAAGTCACAGAGGAGGGGGCCCCACTGGGCTGGACCCAAGGTCAACAGAGGCCAGCAGCCTGCCTCTGACACTGCCCAGCACCACAGGCCCTAAAGCAGAAGCAGTCCCTGGTAGTAGATGTGGATAATCAACCTCTGCCCCCTGGAACTAGTGTCATTAGGGGACATCCTGATTTCCAGTAGGTAAGAGAGGGAGCCACTCGGATCAGGCAAAGCAAAAATGAGTTGTGACACCACTGCACACTGCTGATATCCACATGTGTACCTCATCCCTGTGTGAATCTTGCTACGGTCCTGGCCTCTCAACAGCATCTGAGAGCAATGAGTTCTGATTTAAACACTTTATTGTTTAAAGTGATTTTTTTACTGAATGCAACAGTGGGCCCCGAGACTAGGAGACCTACCCTGTCCAAACCGCTCACCTGCTGAAGCAGAGCATTACCAGGGCTGTGTAAGCCATGGCCTTGGCTTCACCAACCCAATGGAGATGGCAAGCTGTCACAATAGGAATAATGCAATCAAATTTCTTCACCCTTCTCCTCACCCCTAATGAACCGATGGCATTGGGATGCTCAGGTCCCAGTCTGGGACTGGAGAAGGGGAAAATGCGTTGCAGAACTACTGAGCGGAGAATGGGAGCCATGGGATGTGAGTGCACCAACCACTGGAGCAAGATGCGTGAGAGAGGATGGCAGCATTGCTGGTGGCTTTTGGGGGCCAAAAGAAAATTTGGAATGGACTCAGCAGACTCAAGCTGTACAAAATTAGGAGCAGGAGGGACTCTCTCACTGCCAGCTCATCAAGGCGTACCGGCGAGCAGCTTCTGGTGGTACAGCATAGAGGTCGGTGGGTGGGAAATCTTTGAAGGCACCTGCCCTCTCCTGCCTGCCCATACCCCTGCAGAAGTGGCTTCCCATCCCTTTAATCACCTTCACTGGCTTCTCCTTTGTCCCCTCCTTCTCCGGTCTGTTGTGCTCCTTGAACTTGTCCAAGGCCCCTGGCTTCTCCTCAAAGTCCGGTCTCTCCAGCTCAGCCTCCTCAAATTCGTCTTCCCCTTGGTTGTTGGGATCCTGGGCTGGGTCTGCAGCATCATCGGGCAACTGGGGAGAGAAGCATCTCGTTAACACCAAGCTGGTCCCGCTCATGACTGCATCCAGGTCTCACCAAGGGAGCCAACAAGGTTGGAGAGTTGGGAGAGCTGCTGCTTGAATGGCAGCCCGAGACTGCAGCCTCCGGGAGGAAGACCTTTCCCACCTCCTCCAGGCTCATTGTACGGGAGCCCTCAGATCAGCCCACAAGCAGTACAGTTAAAGGAGGGGATGGGGTCACACAGAGCTGGCAACTCTGCCTTCTCCTTCCACAGCCCCCACTCCTGCTGCTATCCCATCCTGAGTCCACTCCAGGGGTCTTTCCAGGGTAGCCAGTTTGGTTCAACTCCTGATAACCTCTACCAGGCTTCAGTGTTAACAAAGCTCAAACAAGGTGTGGCCTGGAGCCTTGAGCAAGGGAGGAAGGAAAGCAACACTCAAACACTCACGCCAGGGAACTGGTTTGCCCTGCTGTGATGGAAGAGCTTGTTTGCAACACACTGATGACCCTGAATCAACCCTTGATAGGAAGCGGCTGCAATCTCTATGCATTAAACCACTTTCAAAAGGAAAGTTGCCTTAAGTAAAAAGGCGACACACTAGGCCTGCTGTAATTACTTAGGACAGTCTCCTGCCCAAAAGAACGAGGATGGTTTTCTAGGCACCGATGTTGTCAGGAGACATGTCAATGCACCCACTGCTCTGGACTGTGGGAGAGCCAAGACTTCTGCCCCGCACCACAAATATGCCTGGTGACGGACACGTCAGGCCTGAGCTGAGGATAAGGGGGAAGGAAATCATTTCTTGTGCTTAATATCTGCTCTCATTTTGCTATGGCATCCTCCTCCACCCAAGGGAGGCTGTTGTTTCTAGAGAAGCGGAAGCAGCACTGAGATGCCTATGCGGGAGAGATACCACCTGGACACAGCTGCGTCCTCGCCGGGGAGGCAGAGGAAGGTGACTGTGCAGGGGTCATGGCTGTGACACCACTGTGGAGTCCTCCCCTGGTGCAGTGACCTGCAGGCCTGGCTGTGGTCTTTGCAGACCCAGCATCACTGGGGACACAAGCCGCTCTGCGTGGAGGCCAGGGATAGAAGGGGCAGGGGAAAGCTGTTTCTCTCCGAGGTCACTACTCCTCTCTCACCGCATAGGGGAGCAGCTGCTCTCTCCTTCAGCCTCTCCCAGAGGGAGAAGAAAGACTGACCAGGGACTGTGAAAGCAATAATACTTGGCACTTCACACCCTCAAAGCACTTTACAGCCCTTCAGCTAATTGACAGACAGGGCCAAACAATGATGCTTCCTCAGAGCTGGTGCCAGTGTATTTTCCCTGCTGTTGGAGGAGCCTTGCAAATGGCTGAGCCCTCTCCTTCCACCCACGCTGTGCTTCTCTGGCCCTCTCCATACTGTAACCCCTTTTTCTATGACCAGGACCATCTCCCCATGGCCCCCTCCCAGTGAGGCAGGATCTAACCAGGGTTCGTCTCCTATTCATCCCTACAAGAAGAGCAAGGCGCCAACTCCCAACCGGAGATGCACCGTAACAGATTATGGAAAACCACTTTGCCAACGGCCCAGCTCACGCACAGACCAGTTCTGGGCCTCCTGACACTCACTGGTGGGTAATTATACTGATTTTTCAGATGAGGAACCTGAGGCAGGGAATGGCTGGTCTGCAGAGAACTGGTGGCAGGAGCTGGGATGAAAACTCTTGGCTCCCAGTACTGTGCTGACCACATCTTCCCTTGAGCACTTCAATAGGAGCTGTGTTAAAAACTAAAATCAATAATCCCCCATTGTCCCTCATTAAAATAAAAACTTCTAGAGCCGGGAGGATGGTTTTGGAGTGACGGTGACACTGACAGCATCTACGGGCATAAGAGACTGGGTCAGACTGCAGGCCCACCCAGCCCCGAGTCCTGTCTCTCTGCGGGTGTTAAAGGGCAGAGGATTTAATCAGGGCCTCTCTAGACTGACCTTCTCCCTCCTTGTCACCCCCTGCAGCTTCTAGTATCTGCTATAATAGGAAGAGTGGTCTTTCTAACCAGACTCACGGGAGGTACCTAGGTGGCACCTGAGTGACTCATCTTACCATTGGCTCCTGGGCAGCTGTGTCCTTCTGAGAGTTCAAGTTCTCTTCTCTTTCAATCATGCCAGCATCTGCAAGGAAAAAGGATGTGAAAAGTAGGCCCTTCAGTCCAAACACCTCACTAGAGGAGCAGCAAAAGACACCGTGGCTGGTGTGAACGGGAGGCAGGTTAGTGCCGTTGCTCAGCGATGGTGAGTTATGGTATCATCGTTGCCTGCTTCACTAGTCAGCACCTAAACAGGCTACAAGCTCATATTTGCTACTTCTAGAGGCAAGGGAAGGGGCAACTTTTGCATTTGAGGCCGGTGGGGTCCTGCAATTCAGCCCCAACATCCAACCTGGGAGTCACTTTTGCCCTAGCCCAAACACGGGGTCTCCTGCTGCCTCAGCTGCACCCCCCTGTGCCAATACCCATACCTTCCACACATCTCCAGGGCCCCCCATTGCTCTGCCAACACCACCTCCCACAATGGCAACCCCCGAAGTGTGGGGGGTATGTTGGCGATACAGAAAATCTCTGCCATATCCAAAACTAGTAAGGTGGGGAACAGCAAAAAACACACGCAAATGACTATGCAAATAATTGCATAGCCCAGAGTTACTGCATTGGCAGGGCTGGAGGGGGGGGCTGCATCACTGCAGGGCTCACAAGGCACAGTCTGTACCTTGTACATGGGATAAGACAGGGGACTGCCGTTCACTTTCTTCCCTTAAGTCAAGGGTATAGGAAAAATGATTCCAGGTGACAGTAACAGCAAGGAATTTGCAATGATGCGTCTCCTTTTCAGGGGCTTGATGCCCCCTGCCACGTCAGGTCCACCCCTCTGAGCCCCGGGAAGTGGCGAGATAGCTGGAGTCCGGCTGCAGGGCGGTGGGATTTCCGAGCCGCCAGCTGCTCAGGCGCTAATCTTGTTTTCAGGGAACAGTTTTTCCCTTGGGCTCCTGCGGAGTCTGGGCGGTATCCATGGCAACAACCCAGTTGTGCAGCCAGTCAGAGCATCACTCGCGGCCAAAAATGTGCCACCGCGGGCTACAGGTCAGTGCCGCCTCCACCTTTGCTGGGGCATGGGCTGCTGATAACGAGACGACGACAAAATAAAAGGCACAGTGCTGGGGCGGGAGGAAAGAGCAGCCCCGCTGAGGGTCGGCTAGTGGGAGCAAGGTCGCTAGCTATGCTGACTTTTGGGCACAGGCTGGAGAGCGGCACTGGGCTTGGCACAGCTCTTGCTTTCTATGAGAGGGAGGCCCAGACCTAAAGCCTGGACCGAGAGCCCATCGGATTTGGCCCCGGATCCACATTTCACCAGTAGGACCCAGCTCTGGCCCTGAACGCAACAGTCACTCCAAGCACTGATTGAGAGTCCATAGGAGCACGTAGCCATGGATAACGGTGAACGTCCTGCCACATCAGACTGTTTGGGCTGACCGTATATTTAGCTTGAGGCCACAGGGCTGACGTAGCAGGATGCTGTTTCTGCTCCCTCGTTCCCTAGACTGGCACGGCTAAGGTGGCAACACTGGGCGCATCTACACGAGATATTTAGTGCGGGGCTGCCCAATTAGCAATACAGTAGTCTCAACACCTGCAAGTGCAGCTCTATTAGGCCGCCAGAAATGAATCAACTCCACCGCAGGTTAGTGCTTGTACATACAAATACTGTCCTGTGGCAGTGGTCTTTAGTGCGCAGCAATGTACATGTAGATGCTGACAGGTCTGGCAGGAGGGTGCTAGTCCCGCATTGGAGCCCCCTCGTGCCCTGGCCAGTCCCTCTGTACATGCTGAGATGGGTCCAAGCGGCGCTGGGCTAGCAGGCTGACCCCCTGGGTCCCATGCCGGCTAGGGCTGCTCCGACCCAGCTCAATGTGCTGCATTCGCCAGGCGCACATGAAGACATGGCACCTGGGAGCAATGAACTCCAGTGCAATATGAGCTGGAGTTTATTGCTCCACGTTAATAGCACATATAGATGCACCCACCATGTCCCACGGTGGTTTGAGTGGCTGACAAGTAAGACCAGAGCCCTCAACAGTCATATCTCCGAGGGACTTTTGGGTTGAGAAGAAAGTCCTGTCGAAGTGGTGCCCACCACAAGGCGAGGTGCAAAGCAGGACACACAGACAGCAAACTCAAGTGGCGAGGGGTATAATGAAAGGAGTTCTGCATTAATTAATTAATTCAGAATGAACGCATCAAACCCATTGCTCTCCTTACCTAGTTGGTAGCACACCGAGTGTGCCTATAGACACCTGCGTATTTCAAGCTATATAGTTTCCAGAACGCATCCCAATCTCTCGTTCTGGGGTGATGAGGCAGTTCTTCTCCCAGGCTTGCAGTCCAAGCCATGCTCCATTTGATCCAGTATCCTAGGAGCCTGGAGACGTCGTCCAGAGTGAAAACAAAATGGACAGAAAAGACCTAGTTCTGCCTCCGATGTTGCTTAAGACTCCCGAGGAAGCGGCAGGGCGGTGTGAAGGGGACTCATCCATTTTGAGAAAGATCCTTCCCCATCTTGTTCATTAACTCTCCTCCGTGAGAGCAGCTCTAACGAGGGCCTTGCGCAGGGAGGGGCAGAGTGTCTGTGCTGTACATCCCCAGCAGTGACTCCATATTCTTGGAACATCAAACAAGAGCCCTCCGGGCGGCAGTGCTCCCAATTAGACAGCCGCATGGCCGGGGCAGTGAAGTCACTCCCTAGGGTGTCGATTCCAATTAAGACATGGAGGTCAAGCCCGGCTGGTCACGGTGTTCTCTGACACCCACAGCATGGCTGTTCCCTCCAGAGAGGAATTTGCTTTGATGTGAAGCAATTAGCTTGATTCCACAGAGGGGACTTGTTGCAAGCAGGTTGTTTAAAGCTGAAATAGCAGCTGAACGTGTCTATGAGGGTGGATGGGGCATAGCGGCCTTGGTGCAAGAACACATCTCCTCTTCTGCAAACTTCTGCCCAGTCTTGTCTGGGCACTGGCCCAGGTCATGGCAGGAGCAATTAAATACCCAACTGGGGGACTTGTGCCCTAGAAGGGAACTGAACTTATGATTTGGAGGCTTTCTCCCTGCCCCTCTTATGGCCCTATTATCCAAGGTTCATTGACGCTACATGCCTCTTGCTGCCTCTTCACACCCCACTGCTTTTCCTAATCCTGGCCCTCCCTGGAGCAGTGAGTGACAATTATGCTAAGATCCCCTCCCAAGAGACTAGGCTGAGTCCACCAGGCTGGGTGATTTAAGCTAGTGTTTGAAACCAGGACCTCAGAGACCGTAGGAGTCCCAGCTCCCCAAACTCCCTGCCCTATTCCATTCACAATCACAGTAACCTGCCTGTGTACAAAGGATGCACATAAAAGTCCTGTTTCCCTGAACCCAGATGGGATCAAATAGCCATTTTTCCCAAGCCTTTTTCTAGCCTTTGGTTGGCCAAAAAGGTCTCTGACTTGGCTCAGATTCACCAGTGCTATAAGTACTTTTCCTAGGTGCCTTTGGGACTTCTTTGCTGCCTTCTCTGTTTCTGGAGGTGCCTCTGCTCCTTCTCAGTCACATGCCCTGAAGCAATCAAATTAATCTCGCTGCATCTGGATGCTGGGAAATCCTTGGACCACAGGGCCCAGCCAGGATCCTGACTTCCAAGTGTCCTTGGTTTCACCTATTACTAAACAAAGGGGTACTAAATCCCTCACTTGGCCTGAATGGAAGGCTCCCCCACCCCATCAGGTCATGGGAGGTGGTGTGACTGCCCAGCCCCTGGCATAGCCCTAATTATAAATTGTGCCTGTGAAGTGAGGTGAGAATAAAGCTCTTCCCTTACAAGCTAGGGCAGTGAATTATTCATGAGCTAGTTTCCTGGCCTTCAGATGAACTCTAACACTAGGTCAGCTACCTTTCTTCCCCCTCCTTCTCCAGGGGCCGAGCCCCTGCGGGACCTCGGAAGGCAGTTTGATCAGCAGACAGTGCCTTTCAGACATCTGCCGAAGAGTTCAAGTGCGGGTCTCCTCCAGCTGCCCAGATGTGCAGACTCACAGGCTGCCAAGCGGTAAGCTGCACTTGGCTGGCCGGCCTATAGAATTAGCTGGTCTTGGGAATGGTTTGATCTCAGCCCCCAAAGGACCCTAGGAAATCCCTCCCAGGTTGCTTTGGTATGCAGGAGGTTGCATTCAGGGAACATCCAGGTTGGATGGAAGTGCTCTCTTGCCACCCAACAAGGTGATGCTGAGGAGTCCTCAAAGGAGAATGAGGACATCAGCCTCGCCTGCACATGCTGTGGCAAGGGGTCCCTTCTTTTCCTATTCCTGGAGGGGAAAGCCCACCCCCCCCCAGCATCTATAAGGACGCTGTTACTCAAACTATGGCTGCTTCCATCAGCAGCAACCACAACAAGGAGTTTGCAATGGGGTTGTTTAAGCCAGTCCTCATTTCTTCCCATTGCTAGGCAGAGAGGAGATGGCTTTGTAAAGGCCTTTGCGGTTTCATAACAAGCCACTCTAGCAGTGACTGACCCAAAGCAGGGCCGGGGACACCTGGGGCATTACACGTAATTATTCTAGCGATGCAAAGATCCTCCAGCAGTGCTGAGACATCCCAATGGGATCGAGCAAGGACATGCAAAGAAGGAAACGACTAGCAGCCCTGAGGAGAGCGAGGGAAGGTTGGGGCTGTCTGAAAGACGTGATTTCTCTTGATACCACACCAAATGATGGAAACCTTACCCATTTCGAGTTCCTCATCGTCGGTCCCTTCCTTTTCTGCCTCTTGATTGGCTATGTGAGGCTCTGCCCCTCTCTTCTGATTGGGCAGCGGTAAGTTGCCATTCGGCATCGCTTGCTCAGGCCGGGTGTCAAAGTGAAGGCTCTTTGGATAATTATGCACTTGTTCTTCATCCATTTGGGCATTCACTTTGTTGACGATGTCCTGCCAGCTGCAGTGAAGTAAGAACAAAAAAAGAGAACAGCCCTTACAGCAGTAAGCCCCAGAGATATTTCAAGATGGCATTTCATAACCTAAGTGCAAGCAGGAAAAACTCCAACTGCATGCAAACCCCTGCCTAATTGCACATCTTTGGCAAAAGTAGCAGATTTCATTTGTGGTCCCTGCCAGCTGCATGAAAAAGAACAATTAATATGCTGCATAAGAGCAAAATAAATTATGCGTCATAAATGCAAAGTATTATTATTGCAGGGGTTTGGGTTGTATTATTATTAGAACTGCTTTAATCTCTTATTCATGCGCTGCAATAATTTATCTGTCCAGAAACAACAATATTTTCTCCCACTCTAAATTGCTACGTATTCATACCGCACACGAATGAGAAGACATAAAGTTCCCTTCTGGAAATGCTATCCAATCAAAAGTCCTATTTCTGCTTAGCACAACAGTAATGGCATTACTACCATCACCTAGAATACTTGGCCCAAACCCTGAAACATCATTACTGAAAGCTGTAGAGGTTTGAATTGTGCATGTAGAAAGCCTCCCCGCCATCCCCTCACTCCCAATAAAAAATAAACATTATTGCAATATAGCACAGCTGTTCTGCTTCTGTAGGGGGATTTTAATAAGATTTCTTTGTTGCAGTAACTGGCATGGATGTTGTCGTGAAACTCCATCTGTAGCTCCTTTTGGGGTGTCTGTCTCTCCTACAGCCCAAATCTGTGACCTGGGTCAAGCTAAAAACAATTATCCACGCTGCTCTGTCTCTGAGAGAAAAGGCAAGCCCTCCTGAGCAGCCATGAGCTGCTCCTGGAGATTTCTTCTTCTCCATCATGCTTTACACAGGTTCCTGTTTCCAGCCGTACTTAGGCCTACCTTGTATCGCCTTCCCTACTTGCACAGCGAGTGTTTTATAGGGCATTAACAATGACCAGCAACAGGACAGATGCCAAATGCAATGCTCTTCTTCAATTCAGTATTCTCACCCATCAGGTATCTCCACAACCTCACAAACCTCTTTTGACATCCATCATCAGAGCCTGTCCCTACAGCTGTACAGAAGTGAGTTGTGGGGAGGTGGAGGTCACAGGGGTGGGCAAGGCATAGGTGGATCTGCCATTAAAATGCATGGGGCCAGTGCACACAACTCCTTCCACTTCACTGTCTTATAGAAGCCAGCAAACTGCTACCACGCAAGCTTTTATCCAGGAAAACAGCACTTGACTTCCACTTTGGCTTCCCCCAAGAGAAACAATCAAAATGTAAAGATGCATTCAGAATTTATCTGTAATTTGATGGTCTAATCTGGCCTCTGAACTAGCTCCTTATGTTGGAAGAGCAGCATTTTTTTGCCTTTGCACCGGCTTTAATGTATATTTTGGCACTGGTATTTCCGGAAGAACGTCAGTGTGATGTTCTCCTCCATATCACAAGCATTATCCCAGGTGAACAGCAGTTTTCTTTGATGACTGCTTTGATAATATCTTAAAGTTAGAGCCATTCAGAGGGAATACACCCTTCTAAGTATGAGTGATCATATATGATCATTCTGTCATCATGAGTCAAATACCCTTGGTTCTATCTACAGGAGTCTGCTGACCTTCTTGGCTGGGCATGTGTAATCAGGGAAAATCCAGTCCATCTTTTCTCTAAGCCAGTTGGGTTTCTTAAGTCTTTCCATCCCAGCGGCCTTGGTGGAGTGCAGGGAGCAGGGCTCCTCTGTACCATGTGCTGTCCAGACACAGAGGCTGAAGAGAGAGTGAGGGTGGAGGACAGGAAAGGAGACGGTCTCCATCAGAGCGTGGGTGACAACTCCAAACAGAATCCAGCTGCCTCCCTTCTGGCTTTTCTGTAGCTCCAGATCTAACAGGAGCAACCTCTTCTTTGTTTCAGTAAAGTAAGTGGACGTGACCATTCAGAGACATTCAGGCAGGAGAGACGCTGTGTAAGAAGGTGCTGAGTTTGCAGAGTCGCTTCGTGGGTAACAGCCAGGCTTTGAGGGATGGCACTGGTGGAAAGCTCTTTTCCTTGTGCAGAATGCTCCTGCTAACTGATCTCCAGAGAGCTCCACATCGATTGCAAGCCTTTCTGAGGAGGGACCAGACTTCTGCTGTGTGTGCAGGGTCCCTCTCCAGGACTGGGGCTACTCAGCACTACAGCAAGACAAATAATAATGATCCATGGCATAATCCGGGGGTCGAAGGCACACCTCTGCTCCGAATCCTCCTCTATTTGCAAGTGATTCCAGAGCATTCTCCCTCTGGGACGAGCTCGAAGGGACGCATATTGCTGCATACAGAGAAGCCCTTTGCACTTAACTAATAAAAATTGTAACCCTAAGGGGCAGGGAATTTTAATATCAAGGCTCCAGCTAAGTCCAGAAGTTTATATTTCTTGTCCAGCTAGGCCAAGGTCCAGCTAAACTGATGTTCACTTACTCCATTAAGCAAATCAATAGAAAACAGCTAACTTCAGGGGAGGAAAAAGGACAATGTCCATATGCTTCTTAGTGTCCATGTTCCAAGTGTGCAAGACTTTTCAGAGAGGCACCCCTTGCTGCTATACTGGAGACCTAGACCAAGCACCAACTCCATCCACGGGAGAGGACAAAATCCCCCTTGAGAAGAGGGTGGGAAATCCAGGGCGCAGACATTCAGCTCAGCCCTGGAAGCAAAGCCAGAAGTTGCCTACTGCTCCTAGTGTGCCGTATAGCCTTGATGGTAACAGACCTTCAGCTTTTTCCCCGATTGCTCCTGCAGCGCTTGACAGATTACTGATTAATTAGGAGAAAACATGAGTGTGCCTCAGCTTTAATACATAGGTTAATGCTTCTTAATGAGAGGAGCTGGAAGGATCCCCAAACCGCCCTGCTGCTGAAGACGTCTGGCCCCTATTACGTTGTATTCCTTCAGCTGGCTCAACCCCACGTTATTTCATCTATTTAAATTGCCCACTGCAGAGGGAGGGAATGTCTGGCATAAGTTCCCACAAAATACCTCCCTGCTGGTTCTTCCAGCTCAGATTAACTCCAGGCCCTGAACCCTACTCAAATAACTCCTCCCCAGTGCATGCACCTATCCCATGATGCTGAGCTGCTGGCCATACGAAGACCAGAAGAGTCCTGCACATGGTGCCCTGTTGCCTTCTTTAACATGGAAGCAGAACCCATGCAGACGATGCATCCCAGCATGCAATGCTACCTCTGAATGGGAGCAGCCGTCTGCTCGAATCGAGACACAGTGTTGTGCATTACAGCCTCTAGGCCAGGGGTGGGCAAAATGCAGCCTGGGGGCTGGATGCGGCCTGCCAGGCCATTCTATCCGGCCCGTGAGGCCCTTAAAAAATTTAGAAAATTAATATTAATCTGACCTGGGCTGCTTGTCATGCGGCCCTCGATGGCTTGCCAAAACTCAGTAAGCGGCCCTCTGCCCAAAATAATTGCCCGCCCCTGGACTAGGCACAGCTCAGGTCCAGGAGGAGCACAGCTTACTGGGACCTGCAATCGCCATTAGTAGTATCTTTCTATAAAGGACGATGCTGAGCAAGAGGAAAGAGGTCAGGGGGCCGGTCTCGAGAGCGGCCTGTGGCCAGGCTTGCTCTGCACACCAAAAGTAGAGACCAGTTCTGCGGTACCAACCTTTGCATTTGCACGTGTTTGTTCCCTGCTGAAGGGCGGTCCTCGGGAGTCTGCACCTTCTCCGGCGTGGACGGGCGTTTCGGATCAGGTGCTCCCCCACCAGGAGGTTGGTTCTCATTTTTTCTCCCCGCACTGCCCATCCCCACCTTCTGATCCTGCAGAGAGGAAAAACATTCAGAGGACCCGTACAATTTCCCTGTGCTGTTCAGCTCTCACAGTGCCCCTTGAATTTGGCAGCCTCAGGGTTTTAGGTCATAACATTTTTCCGCAGTAAATACTAGGATACAACTTACTGCACAGGCTGAGATGCAAACCCCAGTTAGCCAGGCGTCCATATTCTGAGCGTAGGAAAGTCACTCCTTTCCCAGACAGTGAAGAAGAAATCTCTCTCTTTGGTGGCCTACATGCAATGCATTTTGCCTTGTTCACAAAGTGTCCATGTAGCAAAGAGCAACACAACGGCCACACCGTAAAATAAGGGAACAATCAAGGCTCCAAAGCACTACAAGTATACAGTAATTTTGCTTTTCACCATGCAATTAATGCTAATTCATCCTCACAACCCCCTGCCAGGTAGAAGGGCTTTTATTATCCCCAGGGGAAACATGGAGGACCAGAGGGAATGAAAAAGTTAAATACACACAGCCAAGAACAGAGCCCGTTGTCCTGAGTCTGAGGCCAGGACAATGACCATGGGATCTTCCTTCTGAGCATGCGCAGGAGGCCTTTACTCCCAATTCAAAGTCTCCCGAGGGGGGTCTGGCTCTGTCACAGCCCTGCACTGAAGCATGAGGCCAGCACATAACGAAGGGAACTCAAGTCTTACTCTCCCCAACACCAGCTGGAAAGCGGAGGTGCTAACACTGCACCCCTCAATGCCATCTCAGCGTGGGGTTGGGAGAATAAATTCATCACAGCCACAGAAGAGGGGAGGAAAGCCTGGGTAGGAAGGCACTAGGAAAGGCAAGTCATACACAAATGAAAGGGAAAAGCAGGGGATACAATAATAATTTATCCACTTATTCCCTTCTGACTGGCTGATATTACTGCCAGGCTCCGCTCACTCCACAGCACTGGAATCGACCTGTCGCTGAGCCCCTGGAATGGCCTGAGCCCAGTCCAAAGAAGCCTGGTGGGCTTCAGATCTGGCCTCAATCCATCTCTGGAGGGTGACCAGAGTTACAAGAGATTGTATAAGGGATCCAGTTAATGGAGACTGCCAGCCCCTCTCCAGACTGCCTGCCAGCCCTTAGGGAGAGGGGAGTCAATAACAAGATGGGGCAATCTCAAGCGTTTTGGAGTCGTGGTCCCTTCCTAGGCTTGTAATGCTGTCACGTAGCCCTGGGATTCCCCAGTACAGAGAGTAGAGTAGTCATGCTTTGGGCCAGACCCTCTTCCACCAAGGAGGTGTGCGAGTGTCCCAGCGCAGTCATGTTGCAAGCTGCTCGAGTCCCTGGAAAACTGTTAATGCAAGAGGCGGGTGGGGTAGATCCATGCTGCTTCTTGTGACTCTTCCCAGTCCAAGGTAATGGCACTTTACAGGAACAGATCTGTTAATGGGTTTTCAGAGACCTAAACAGGTGGACCAGGATGTCGCCTCAGACAGTGGGGAGCTCTTGTCTTTCTCTTCTCTTTTCCCATTCCCTTCCTCTCGTACCTACACTGTGCACCCACCAGGGCCTGCCTGCTGCTGGGTGAGGCTGGCTGGTCTACAGCACAAAGGGGAACGGACACAAACCAGTCATAAAATCATAGAAAATGAGGGTTGGAAGGGACCTCAAAGCAGGACCAGCTCCAACTAGATCATCCCAGCCAAGCTTTTGTAGCCAGGTCTTAAAAACCTCCAAAGGATGGAGAGTCCACAACCACTCTAGGTAGCCAGTGCTTTACTACCCTCCTAGTAAGAATTTTTTTCCTAATATCCAACCTAAACTTCCCTTGCTAAAACTTGAGCCCATTGCTCCTTGTCCTGTCATCTGTCCCCACTGAGAACAGCCCAGCTCCATCCTCTCTGGAGCCACCCTGCAGGGAGTTGAAGGCTGCTATTAAATCTCCCCATCTTCTCTTTTCCAGACTAAATAAGCCCAGATCCCTCAGCCTCTCCTCAGAAGCCATGTCCCCCAGCCCTTGAACCATTTTTCATTGCCCTCCACTGGAGTCTCCAATTTGTCCACACCCTTTCTGTACTGGCGGGCCCAAAACTGCATTTAGTCCTAGTGGGTTGCCAACAGACTGTGAAGGAGAAAATGTAAGCATCTCCCCAAGGCCAGCTTCCTGCAGAGCAAGCCAGAGAAGGATTAAACTTTCCCCTTTGCTTCTGTGTTGGCTTGGAGAGGAGGAATGAAAGAACCAGACGTGGAGACAAACCGCTGTTGGAATGAAGGTGGGGAAGTCCTCTCAGGCCCAAGAGAAATAGAAGTACTGGGGTTGCCGACAATGGATATGGGTGGATGTCAGCAGCATGCCATCCAGTGACAAGGTCTTTTGGCTCCTGATGAAATATGAAGTGCGTGCTAATATTATGGGAAAGCATCACACCCAAAGGCAGAGCAGCTCAGGAGCTCAAGGCTTCTCACAGCTTGCTACCAACGGCAGGCAACAGGCCAAGTTTAGCACTACCGCAAATGCATCTTCCAGGAGGAGAGTTTCCACGCAACCCGTCTCCATCACACTGAACAAGCGGATTCTTGATCAGGGCTGCTGGATGCAGAGAGACCCTGTGTTTCTTCCCAGTTTACTAGCACAACCTGTGCTGACCAGCATCGCTGGCCCCCAGCCTGTATCACACAGTTACTGAACAAAGCGTGGGCTGTGCTGTACTCACAGGGCTGCCGTTCTGCACGCTGTTCACCGTGCGTGTGAAGCGGATGACGTGGCCGGCCCTGTGCCCCTGTGGCCAGACAGGCATGGCGGCTGGAGGTAGGTTGGCCTCCCGTAGCGGAGATGGGTGGGTGAAGAGCACATTGCCTGGAGGTCGAGGACCATCATTGTGCGAGGTCTGGCTCTGGGGCAAAGTCCCCTCGCCCTGGCTCCTGATACCAGAGGCTTGTGCTCCCATGGGGCTCCCAGCCGAGCGCTTGTCCTGATCCAAAGGGCTCAGTGATACTTTAGCCCCATTAGCTACAAGAACCTGGAAGGCAGAGAGGGAACAGCGTCCTACCAAGTGGCATCAATGAAGAGCAGGGGGAATCAACTGCAGGCAACCAACCCCAAACCAGGTGTTGAACCCACATCCCCCCTGCAGCACCACTCTCCTTTGGGAGAGTTCACTACAGCTGATCTCTACGCACCCACCCCCGCTGCTGGGCACCCTACCTTCTGCCTCGCAAGCTGCAACGGGCTGTTGCCTGGCACCATGGGCTGTTCTTTCAGTGCCTGGAGCGACTGTTGCCCCTTTGCAGCTCCGACTTCCTTAAAACTGGGCATCTTCTGTAGCGCTTCCTTGAGTTGCCTGAACTCCTCCATCTGGGTCTGCAGAGAGAAGAATGGCGGAAATAAAAATGCAGGCAACAAGGGGTTAATACGTCCCTGCTGGGAACCTGCAGCCCTGCCAGCGCCCTCCCCTCTGCTCTGGGCTGGGGCGTCAAATGGATGCCTGACCGTGTCCCAGCACTGCAGCAAGGAGAGGAGTGCGGTAGGCAGAGGGACCCTAGCAAGGGGAGCAGCCACTGCCCCTCCCCAAGGAGCGCAGCAGCTGCCCGAGTCAATTCCTTGCCTGTTGCACTGTCACTCATCTCCAGCCACTCCTTTCCCCAGGACCAGCAATTCTGGGGCTCTCCAGGCATTATCCACATTTCACCCCAGAAGCACATATTGCAGAGCCAGCTCCCCGGCCCTGGCTGAGCCTCATCCTGCTCCTGCGTTCTGCAAAGCCAGTCCCTCTCCCGCATGCCCCCTTCTCTAGATCAGGTCGGCTCTGTTTTCCAGGGAGCCGTTTCTCGGTGGACGTGTTCATCTCACAGGGGCTGACACAATCATCGGCTTAATTTCACTCGACAATTCAATTTGCTTCACTAGCAGAATGAAAATGGATTTCCCTGGACAAACGCAACCCCTCCTCTCCGCTCCAAGTTCATTTCCTTGCTTTCCCCCTCTCAAAAGCAAAAGGGCTTGAAAAAGCCTTTCACAGGAAGGGCTGGGGGCTCCTCTCCGGTTTATATGTAGGGCCATGGGACAGGGGCTGCAGGAAAGAAAGGCAACTCTTCTCATCTGGCTGCTGAGGCATGTAGAAATGGCCCAAGCTGGGCAGTGGGGCAGAGGCTGGGGAGCCTTTGAGCAGAGGCAGCAGCAAAGTCCTCGGGCTCATTATTTCCTCCTCCCTCCTTGCCATTTTACTTTGTTCTGACCTCCGCACTTCCTCCAGAGCAAACATACAAAACCAGAGAAACTAAAATACAACAAGAGAGCAACAAAATCAAGGATGGGTGGGGGGAACTGCTCAAGAGACACAAGGCCTCGGCCCCACTGGTAGGAGAAGGGTGACTTTACTACCACAAAACCAGGCAGATTTCATCCTAATATGGGTCTCCTGCAATGAGGTTATGTGACCCAGGGAGCTACAGGAAGGGGGCTGCCGTCAAGCAGGGCAGCTCCCATCCATGATTCCTGGGTTCAGGTCCAGGTTGGCCTCTGGACCATTGTACAAGTCCCTTCGTCCCTCTGGGCCATTGGACACCTGAGTAAGAGCTCCTCAAGGCTCACACCACTGCCAGCTGGGTCAGGCATGTACAGTGCTCTGTGGGTCCTTAGATAACAAGGGTGCCCCACAGACCCACCTTTTTGCAAACGTCTGTCTCCAGATGGACTGGTGTCGCTATGGGCTTGCATGGTGTAGATTGGCAGAATGCAAAAGCTGCTGGGCTGATACAGGGGCAGGCAATCCTGCTGGCCACCTGCTTGCACAATTGAAATCCTGGCCTCAGGAAAACTTAATTCATTTCCATGCATGTATTCTTTACAGTGCAGGCTTCATGTGACTGCCAAGGCTGACTAGGAAGCAAGGATTTTGTGTTGCTAAAAATGCTGCAGTTTTAATATTGTTTGGTTTTTTTCCTGTTTTTTCAGCTGCAAGAAGAATAATAATCATAGAAAATGAGGGTTAGGAGGGACCTCAGGAGGTCACATCTAGTGCAACCCCCTGCTCAAAGCAGGACCAGCTCCAACTAGATCATCCCAGATAAGGCTTTGTCGAGTCAAGCCTTAAAAGCCTCCAAGGATGGAGAGTCCACCACCTCTCTAGGTAACCCGTTTCAGTGCTGCACCACCCTCCCAGTGAGAAAGCATTTCCTAATATCTAAACTAAACTTTCCTAGCTGCAACTTGAGACCGTTGCTCCTTGTTCTGTCAATACTACTACTATGACTAAATAAGAATAAACCCCTCAAGATCTTTGCAAATGCTTTATAGTGAGGAAAAACCAGGGGGAGTAGCCTCTCTCTCGCTGGACCCCCACATTCAAGCACGTGGGAGATGGTTGTGATCTTCTTGCTTGCGTTGCTCTAATATATCCTGCACGGACTCCATGAAAGAGCATTTGAAAGGAGAATAATTCCTGATTGATCCTGCGTTGTGTGCCAAAGTGCATGTGCTCTCAGCACTTAGCAAGCCAGACACGAATCCTTCACGCTTGAAGGTGAGCGGATGACTCAGGGAGGCTGGCAACAGGGCATCTCAGACAGCTCAGCTGGACAAGACTACCACCATCCGACAGCTCTGCAAGGGCTTGGATGACACAAGCTGCCTCAGTCTCAATTGGTCCCAATCAATCCTCAAGACCCAACTAGGTCCAGCGCGGGCAGTGGCAGTGCTGAGTGCCCTGCCGACACACCTCAGCAAGGCAGCTGGGTTCCCAGCGAGTCTGGGGGCTGGCAATAAGAAGAGTCCAATATGGGGCAGACAGGTGAGGTGAGCACCTGTCCAGTGGGAAAAATCACTCAACCACCTAACTAGACATCACTTGAGCCACCAAAGAGCCATCTCATGGCAGCTGCTTTGAGACACAGTAAGCCGGGCTTGAACTTGCCGCTGGAGACAAGCATTTCCTACCCTTGGTGAAAAACCACAATCCCTGGGTCTCCCAGTCCCTCCCCAAAGCAACTGCAGAGCAGAGAAGACCAGGACACAGGAGCGATAAAGACAAAAACCAACCCCAGTTCCCTCCACCCCTTGGAGCTCATGGCATCCTGCTCGGGGAAGCCAGCAGCTGTCAGCAGCATCCAGCCACAAGCTCCTCACTGCCCAGCTTCCCCACAGTGGAGGAGAGGGGGTGACAGCAGCCTGTTAATTAGCAAAAAGGAAAGGCTAATCCAGGCAGTGACATGACTTTTAAGTAAATATATTTACAAAGCTGTTGGAGCCTGGCTCGGTGCGGGGGCCTCAGATGGACATTTCAGACATGGATTTCTCCCCCTCCACTCTCCTCTCTTCCCTTCCCTCTGTAATTTGCAGCGTCCCAGCTGCGGCGGGGTAGGCCAAGTGCCTCGCTGTCTGCTAATGAGGTCTCTCGGCAGAGCCCCAGGGGCTCCCGCCGCGTGCTGGAATGTAGGGGCTGCGTCGGAGCGGGAGTGGGATCACGAGCGCCGTGCCAGGAAAGCCTCATGCTTCTCATCCTCTTTACTCTAAAGCCAGCCCTGCTTCCTTCTCTGCCCCCCGGCCTCCAAAATGAACCCCCTGCCACAGCGCTTTGCTCGCAGAACAAGGACATCTTGTTTGTGCAGCTTTTAGGGCCCTTTCAAGGCCCCTTCTGCACAGCAAGAGGCCACAGGGAGCAGCTTTTTTACATCTCCCTGTGCCCATTCCCAAGTGAGTCCGTCTCAAACAGGCAGGACACCTCTGCCCTCGGATTCCTTTCTGCAATGTTCTGGCCATGGGCAAACAGTGACTGAGCATCCCTTGGGACAGCAGTGTCCTTGAGATCTGGGTAGGATGACACTCTCCGATTACTGCATGAGGAAGTCCGCCCTTGGAAAGGTTACTTCATGACGCCTTGTATGTGCAGAGGCTGCTGCATCTCCCATTTCTGGGCCAGGCCTGATGCTCAAATAGGTCTGCTGGTCCCGAAAGCACCTGTACTGCAACAAGACCAGCAGCTTTGCAGCCATCTCACCCCCAGGAGTCCAGAGGCCACCTGTATTCATTATTTTTTGCATTCTGATAGCACTTTCCAAGCCCTAATAGGGGTCACTTCTCCCCATCTCCTGCTGGGAAAGGCATTATACTTTTGTTCGAAGTGCACGTGCCCAAAATGCTTCTTGCACCCAGTGCCAGTGCAGCCCATGCCATCAGAGCAGGGATTCGGATGACAACACCGTGCTGCTCCAGCACATCACAACAAGCAGAGTCCCAAGCCCCGTGGGTAAGCATCAATAAGCTAAGCAGAACAACCAGATCCCTAGGTTCATTGTTTCACAAGTGGCCAGCGCCTTTTAAAAGTCCTTCTTAATGCTAGTGTGTCTAACAGCCATCAAGCCACACCAGAGACTTCATCGGCCCTGCTTAGTGATCGACTTCCTATTTAGTGACAGACCTTAGCCCCCTCTCTCTCCCAAACTCAACAGAGAATCCTGGATCTCCTCCTTCCCAAAGACAAGAACCACTTGGACCCATGGCTTTGCTTTCAATTGCAACAGCAGGATTGTCTTGGGACATGTTTAGGCCCAGATATAGTGAGGTCCCAGGCTGGCACAATCTTTGATCTCTGTGTTAATTTTGGAGTGTGGAGGGACACTGTTCAATGCTGGACCTGCTGAATGATACAGGGATTGGAGGAGACCAAGCACCAGGCCTTCAGAAAGCCCATCTAGAAGCACAGGCCACAAAGCTGCTTCCATTCCAAAGGACTCCCGATAGTTTTGAACGGATCATACAAGATCCCACACTCCAAAATAAGGAGAGCAGGGTGCTGGGGTTAAAAAGGCAGGTAGACACCCTCTGGACACTTCTGCCATGGGATGGCTTGCATCAGAGATGCACATTACCTGAAACTGAGAAAACACATGCTACCAAGACTTTGGGGCTAGAACAAAGAGACAGAAAACCAAACTGCAGCCGGCCAGAATGAACCCAGGGCTGGTAAGGGATCCTGGCTGGGCAGTGAGATCCTCTGGTAACAAACAAAGCAGACCCAGTATGGACTGCATCCTTCCTACCTGCCTCCCACCAAGGGGCCTCAACCCTCACTCAGCTACTTGGCTGGGCACCGCGGAGAGTCGTTTGCAGTGTGAATCTGCAAGGAGCTGTGCACAGGGCGGTAACAGCATTGGGATCCACCATGCTGCAGCTCTGCAGTTGGGAAGGCAACCACGGGGCAGAGCTGGGGGTGGGCAGCAAGGAAGACCAGCTCGTGTGGAGCTCCCGCATTTCACAACCCTTCTCAGGTCCCGGAGGAGCTGCGGCTGCCTCTGAAAGGGTGGCCGTGCTGCTAGAGAGTCTGTGTGGGCAGCGATGCTGAGACCATTGTAGCCCGAACAAAAAAGCGCAGCCGAAGAAATGGAATGGAAAACGCCCCCGGGGCCCGTCAGGAACCGTCTGCTCAACAACGTTACAATGAATGATGACTACAATAAGTGCCCGTTTTGTGACTGATTTCTATCCAGGCACAGCCAGCTCTTAAGTGCTGGGAACGACAGCGGCTTTCTGCCAGTTAGTAACCAACTAGCTTGGGAGATGCTAGGGGAGCTCAGAGCGGGTCCCCATCCTGGACATTCAATCCAGTCAGTCTCCCCCATTCAGAAACCTGCCTGGCTCAGGGCAGAAGCAGGCCCCAGTCTGGGGAGGCGACGGGCGAACTCAACACGGTGTGCTGACCCCACCGCGGCAGATGCATCCAGAGCCCAGGTGGTGCAGGACTGTCCCCTCTGGGGGTCTGTCCCGTCTCGTTCCCATTGCATGAAGGCAGAGGTGACTCCCCTATGGGCCACACTGAGTTTCCCTGGGGTCAGATCCATCCAGCTACTCCCCTGTATCACTCCCCCAGACATTCCCTCTCCCTCCAGTGTTTGAATAGATCAAGCAAGACCAGTCCCCATCCCTTCCACAGCCCTTTTGCACACATTACCCCAGTCAGAGTCCAGGGCTTAAACCGCTAGCAGTGAAAAAGCCAAAGGAAAGCCCCAGGGTTGTGTGATTCCAGCTAAGCCAGGCTCCTCGCCTCACCTCAGCTGGCTGCTCAGCATTGCTGCCAACTAAAGGTCATGGCTGAGCCTGTTTTTGACTACCTCCGGCTGGTTTCCTAAGCATGAGGCCAGTGATCTCCCATGCAGCTTCCTCACACTGGCCGATTGGCTCAAAGCAGGTTATAAATGCTGTTTGCCTGAATCCAAGATCCGGCACTGCATTGAAGCCACCTTGCAAGGCCCCCCACCCCGGGACAGAGGCTCTTTCTAACTCCTCACCCATTACCTGTGCATTCAGGAGCTGAGAATGGACTTCTTGGTGGGCCTTGCGAAGCAGCTTGCTCTCTTCTCTGAGTTTAAAGACTGTATCTGCAAGAGAAGGAGAACTTGGACTGACACGTTTCTTTCAGTAAGCACTGCATCTTCTTTGCTTTCTGCTCTTCCCTACGGAGATGCCAGGGCCCACAGAGCATTGGCAATAGCAGGCGGCAGGAACCAAGGGCCACCTTAATGTCCTCTCAACCAGGAGCCACTACCCCCATCAGCTTCTCCCATTAGTCCAAGAAACCTAAATACCAGAGGTTGTCACTGTTCAGTGCTCTTTGCTTTCACTGAAAATGTGCATCTCAGGATAAGAGTAATTTTCTCCTTATTTGCAGCCCTGCTTTTCTCCTGCCTCTTAATGGAAGGCAAGGAGAGATGCATAGCAAGGAGGTAGCTTGCTGGAAGGAGGTAGCTTCAGGGGTCACCCACAACAGAGGCCTGTTTAGCCTACAGCGTGCAGAGCAAGTGCAAAACAAATTAGACTGCAAAGCTCAACAGCCTGTTTCTAGCTCCAGGAGAGGACCAGCTGCTTTAAAGGAGGCTGTGAGAAAGCAATTACAGGATGCTTTGCTCTGAGGAAAGTTTCTTCATGTCTTTTTAGTGCAGGGTCACAAGCTTTCCAAACTCTTTGTACCCTTAGTGCATGAATGGCCAGACACACAGCTACATTATGTTCCACTGCACAGAGTACAAGATGGACTCTGGCGCCCCAAGTAAAGAAACAAACGGCATCAAAAGGGGACCAGCCGTATTTTGGGCTCTGCCTAAAGCTTTATTAAAGCATTGCTGGAGCCTGGTGCAATGTAGCTTGACCACAAACAGACCTCACTATGTCCTGGCATGACATGGGGTGGTGCTTTCAGTCCCAGCCCAGTCATTTCATGGTAGGCTGAACTGCACAGGAGATTACAGGGACTTCTCACGACAAGGGTGCGTCCATTCACATTGTGTGTCACCAGAGTGGGGAAGTTTGCAGTGACATTTGGCTACTTCCTTCTACTACCTAAGGGAAGGCAGCCAAAGCTACCTCTGCGCTGCATACATGTGCTGGCCCCACGTCTAGAAGCATAACTAGGCTAGTTTCATTGAGTTACGCCTGGCATCAGTAGTAGGGAAGACACAGACCTCGGCTTCAGCACAGGCTGCATAAGCCGGCCTGAGACCAGAGTACTGATGTGGGCAGCAAGCCCATGCGCTCCTGGCTCTTCTGCTGTTGTACATGAGCTAACCAGATGGTAGCTCGCTTAGGCACGTCCATGCTGTGATCCTACTACAAGAGCAGCACAGCATCTTCCAGAGAGCCCCTGTGATCCAGAGCCGACTGCCTGGTGCTCTCCTGAGATGATTCTGCTGCAATGAAAATATCTCATGGAAGATGTGGAGAATCACATGGCAGATGGCCCTGGAGACCCATTCCAAACCAAGGACTTCAAGATGCAGCCTAGGGCTCTCCAGCCCTCAACCTCCCAAGCCCTCCTGTGCATCCCCACAGGACATGGAAAAAGCAAGCCATGCTGAAGTCACCTGGACTTTC